ATGCGTCTGTACCGTCAAGTCGTTTCAACTTTCTTGCTTTGCTTTTGGCATTTTCGTTGCTTCCCAATTATAGAACCAAAAACTTGAATTCAACAGAATTGAAACGTGTAAAAGCAAATAGAAAACACAAAAGAGAATGAGCAAGAATTGCTTTCAAGTACTTGAATCATGTAAATCGGGTGATACCTATTGTGGCGAATACTGCGGCAACACAAAGCGAACAACGAGAAATTGGCAGAATGTTTGAGGAATGACGTAGAATGTTCCACAAAGAGAAACGTCAGTTGGATGAACACTGCGAACAGCGAGAAAAAGAGAATGAGCGATGAACTTCAGAACGTTCGAGAGTTGCCATGAGTGCGAGCGCAGGTATATAAGAGCCATGACACAGCGGAGTTGGAGTTAGTTACGAGTTACAAGTCAGCAAGCTACAAGTAAAGTGAGCAGAGAAGTGAGTTGCGAATAAGCAAGTTATAAGTTTAATTGTGCTAACAAGTTTAGTAAAGCGTTGTTATTGCTTTAACAAGTATTGTAAAGTGCTTTTACTGTATTAGCAAGTATTGCAAATTGTTTGTTGTTCAATAAAGTTACTTGTACTACAATTTGGTCATCGTTAGCATTTATTTAACAATCCAGCGATACGAGGCGAATGATATTTGGGAAATCCCTCTAGGTTTCGAGGATAATCGTTACACTATGGCCCGTAGTCATAGTCAAAATAAAGTCGACTTTAAAGTTAGTTGCAGCTTTTTTGACAGATATCCCATTGAAAATTATGTCAAAAAGCTGCAACTAACTTTAAAGTCGACTTTATTTTGACTATGACTACGGGCCTATGTTTTTGCGTAAATTTTCAAGTAAGTCCCCTTTCAGACACGTCAAGCCTTGCTTTCAAGTCTGCTCGTTCGTAGGCGAAGAAGGTGAGAAGAGAGGGGAAGAGTACAGATACCTCCGTACCGTCAATTCGTTTCAAGTTTTCTTGTCTCTTTTGATCTTTTCGTTGCTTCCCATTTAAAGAACCAAGGACTTGAATTCAATTAAACTTGACGCGTGTGGAAGCAAATAGAAAACACCAAAGAGAATGCGAAAAAAATTGCTTTCAACACTTGATGTGTCTGAAAGGGACTAAATTTTGGTGGTTTCTACTCGATTATTTTTAAAATTAATCGGATAATCTTTCTATTAATCGATTGGAAAATATCGATGCATTAAACCTTTAACCGAAAGAAAACAATAGATTGCTGTCAAATCGACGAAGAGAGGGTTAGCGGTCCGCGAATGGCGCGACCTTTATTTTCTGGATCGTGGAGACAATTAGTCTGTTCCAATAGCAGTCCGGTTTACAGGATTTAGTCAGAACTTACAGGAAGTCGTTCCTATTGACATAAAACCTGTAAGTGGGAACACATTTGTGAGAGTAACTGAGCAACTGTTCCTAGTCAGAAGTTACAGGATTTAGTCCGGAGATTTTTTTCCTGTAAGTTCATGAAAAGTGTCAAACGATCAGCTGATTTACATGTGCAAACAAAAACAGAAAGCGGTGAAAGCAAAGAACCTTATATTTGTTAAAAAAAATGGAAATAAACAACGAAATATTTGAATATGTATAGATTTTAGTAATTATTTACTGATATTTCAGCCAAATCAGTGTAGTACCAATGACATATAAACAAACCGTCTGACGTTTTTACAGGAAATAGTGCTTTTTGCGTTCCTATGCACTTCTGCATCTGTTCTCCTTTTACTCTCATTTGAGAGCGTAAAATTGTAGTTTGACAGTTCCACAGGTTTTAGTCCGAAGTTCAAAGGAACAGACTAGATGTACTAATTGGTCTTACAATACAGCCGATAGTATCGATAGTTTTAAAACATCGATATTATTTTTTTAAAACAAAAACCATCGATATATCGATAGTCGTCGATATTTTTCCACCTCTTCTAGTATTGATAACACCACAGTATTCGATAACACGGATAAGAAAATTTATGGAAAATGACCGCTCTACCAAAACGTGAGTCGCTTTTTACAACGCTTTTTTTATTTTTAGTTATCTTTTGACAATGTAACATTTTGAATCATTATTCTACTACTCTCGAAGTTATGCGCCTGGGAGTGATTCAGCTGAAGGTTGGCAAGGACAAAATTTCAAATGTTGAAAATGCCGTAGCGAAGATTGGGCAAGTGGTCCACGAATATAAACCTCGTCTGGTGACTTTGCCCGAATGCTTCAATTGTCCCTATGGTACTAAATACTTTAGAGAGTATTCCGAAACGATACCCGGCGGTTATACCTCGCAACAGTTATCGGCCGCCGCAAAATCTTACGGCATTTACATAGTTGGTGGCTCTATTCCGGAAATGGGTGAAAAAGATGATATTTACAATACCTGCACTGTATGGGACCCTAGTGGAAATTTGATTGCAAAATATCGTAAAATGCACCTCTTCGATATTGACGTTAAAGGGGGAATATGCTTTAAGGAATCCGAGACTCTAACTGCTGGTTCAAATTTTACTGTGATAGAAGTAGATGGTCATAAAATTGGTATTGGCATATGTTACGATATGAGATTTGAAGAACTGGCAAGAGTATACCGCAACAAAGGTATTATTTTAAAGTAGAAAACATATTTTTAAATTTGTTTAATTAAAGGTTGCGAGATGATTATCTACCCTGGTGCATTTAATATGACGACTGGACCCTTACATTGGGAATTGTTGCAACGCTCACGTGCAAACGATAATCAGTTATATGTTGTAACCAATTCACCTGCTCGTGATAAGGACGCTGAATACATAGCTTGGGGCTATTCAATGGTGGTGGATCCATGGGCAAAGGTTCTAAAAAGCGCTTCTGATGGCGAAGATGTAATTTCTATAGATATTGGTAAGTTACTACATTTACTTAATTCAAACATACAAATGTATGTAAATATTCGTAAATTATACATATTTTCAGATTTCTCAGTTGTAGAACAAGTTCGTGCCCAAATTCCTACTTTCAGACAACGTCGATTGGATCTATATAAAACGGAAATTGTGAATCAGGATTAGTAACTAAGGCTTTTGTGTTTTTAAACCGGATGCACATATCATCATTGCAAGACATTATTTGACGTCTTCGAAAATGGCTGCATTTCTTTATTTATTCTGAACGTTTGGAATAAACTTTTTTGTTTACTTATTGTTTAGAACGTTCCTGATATGTTAACGTGTATTTCAAACACATTCTGTTTATTCTGGCTGTGAAAAGGGATTCTAGAATGTATAAAGAAACGCAACGCAACCAATGTTTTTTAACATTTCTTTAGTTGGCCTTCGGATACACAATATACCAAAATTAAAGGGCATACATATCTTGAATGGTGCAAGATTTATTAGTTAATTTAGAACAGTTCCCTTGGGTTATGTATATAAGATTTTTGCATCCCCTGTAAAATTTCAGCTGCCCAAAAGTTGGTAGATTACTCAGTGCTGACTTAATCGAATTTAAAATCAACTACTACATAAAAAATGACTATGTTTATTAAAAACCTTTACATTACAATAATGAAGAAAATTGCATTTGAAGAACTTTAGTAGGCACAAAGTTTTATAGCTGTTATGTAAAGAAACAAAAATGTTAGACACGGCCTTTCTATTTTAAGGTAACGACATGTTCAATATAAAACTTCTAATTTTTTATTCAAAACTAAGCAATCGACAATTTATGTACATACCCTGCAAACCAAAGTTCCCGAAATCTTAAGGAAATCGTTAGGAGTATCTCATTTATGTAACGATTTTTTTACGAATTTTCAAAGAAAATTATATGAAGTGGTTGACACGAGCTCGTAAAAAAATTCCTGTACGAAAAATAAAGAAAATTCTGGAAAAATTCTGAAAGATATTCTTCACATAGCAGCATTATTTTCGTAAAAGAATGGAAGTGTGCGTAATTTATTTCATTTTAGAAAATTCGGCAACAAATCGAATTAAATCTTAACGAATTCTTTAAAATTTCTATTCAATGTAGAATACTCTGAAAAAATGGTTTGCAGGGAACATTGTAGTAGCCTATGCATATACATATATACATATTTATAATTATCACTTACGGCCAAGGCACATTAAACAGGTAGTATCAGTAGAGCAAAAACAACATTTGCGTGTATTTTGTTGTTGCTTCTGGTATCGAAAGAGTCAACAACTGTTCTGAATTTTTTCTTCTAAATCAAAGCGTGCCATGTGAAATACAAAAAATTATAAAAAATAAAAAATTGAAATTGGAAAAAATAAAAATTGATGCAACTTTCTTTCCTAGTAAATTTGTTTGCTTCTCGAAGCATTGATCCATCCTTTGCAAGGCCCAGTAATCAGCGGTCGTGCTGCCGAGTTGGGCGAACGTTCCAAAAGCTGCTATTCAATCGCTTGTTTTGTATGGAAAAAGGTTTCACAAGCAAATGGATTTTAACAACTTATAATTTTCGTGAGAAAAAATTAAAAATATTTGACATTTTCGAGACCAAATAATTTGAAAATAAATCAAATCAGCTGCTCTACTGATACTACCTGTTCAATGTACCTTGCTTACGGCATTTAGTGAAAATTTGGATTTAAAGTACACTTTCTAACCTGAGGGTATCTCTCTCACTCTGAAGGTTGTACCGGTAAATGGGCTTGCACAACCAAAATTTTTTAACGCAAATTTTTTTGAGAATAAACGACGTAAAAAAATTACTTTATTCTTTTGATTTCACACACAAGTCCAAATTTTTATTCAAGCCCAGTTTCAGACCAACATCGAAATAAACCGTAAAAAAAAGATGTTTCTAATAGCGGTCGTCCCTCCGCATGCCCTGGCAAACTACCGAGTGTATTCTACCATGAAAAACAGTATCTCATAAAAAAATACAATCGCCGTTCGGAGTCGGCTTAAAGCTGTACGACCCTCTCCTTTGTGTGACATCAAGGCGCACACCACAAATCGAAGGCGAAGCTCAGCCAAACACTAAAATATTGTGTAAGCGCCAATCATTTATTATTATATATACAACTGTAGACTTTCTAAATACCTTTACAACGATGTATCTTTTATAGAAATCGGACAAATAAAGAAGTTACAGAAAAAGAGGCTTAGCTGTTTTTAAACGGGGCAGGGAAAAATATTTGTCGTTCAACCAAAATCGACTCGTGTAAATGGCAATTGAACCGTAAAATGTAAATGCCCCCAACTACAACACTTGACACAACTATCGGACACTGGAACCTAATCCATACGGCCGCTGAGCTTGGTCAAACAGAGCTTTTATTGCATCATCGGTAGCCAATAAAGGTTGGCTAACAAATTCCAGGGCGTGTACAGCATATTTCTCCGCTTCGCATAATGGATTTTTACTAGTACTTAAAATATCCATGCCATCTTCGGGGATACCTACACCTGAATGTAGTACCATCTGCTGCAAAATATTTAAATTTTCTACACTGAGGCTTATTACGTCAGTTGCTGGAAGGTTTAGGTAGCGTATCTTTGCCATAAATTTCAAATTACGAAGGATTTCCAATTGCATTTCTCGAATCTGATGTATTGCGTGTAGTAAACGTTTAGTAGATTCCTCCATCGTTTGAGTTTTTTGAGTAAGATCTGCTTTCCAGCGTGCCAACTCTTCTACCATAACGCTACTTGCCAGAAATTTTGATCGCCATACTTCGCATTGGCCCGCAAGGAATTCAATTTGTTCCTTAAGGAGACAAGAAAGGATACGTAAACATTATGGCTGGTTAAATAAATATATTTCACAAGGAAATTTACCGCGTGAGTAGTTAAGTTTTTGGCTGTGTCTAGCAAGGCGCGCGCTAACTGGAGCTTATCCTCCGTCAGCACATTGACATGTGTTTGCAAATCTTCACCTACAGACGCTACTAACAAATTTTTTAGTTCAGAGTTGACTTGAACTTGAAATCTAAACTGCGCCTGATAGTAATCACGCTCCTCTTTAGTTTTTCTAAGTTCGTCTTCCAATTTCACATTAATTACATCCTTATTCTTTCGCTCCTTACAAGATTTTGGATCCATTTCCTGTGCACGCAATGTACACATTTGGCTGACAAGCACACCAATGTCTAAATTGTTATTTTTTTTTAATGTCATCATCCTTTCGGGGCTTTTGGTACATGGAACCATTAAATTGGTAGCACCTGGATACGGTTCATATGGTATAAACTTTGGAGGTTTAACTTTTTTATGCTCAGTTATACGAACTGGCGTAGCAACTAAACGTGGTCTCATTTGAACAAGTTCACCTTTAGGTACGATGGGTGCGATATTGCGTTTCCCCCCATCGGATCGGCGATACAATAAATGTAAACCCGGTAATGGTAATGAACTATTTGCATCTGTTGCGTTACTAGCCGCATTTTTCCTGTGAATATTTTCTTTTATATTAGCAACAGTTGGATAACGTGTAACATTACGATGGTCATCATTCTCTCTTTTGCTTCTATGTTCCAATTTTGTCGAACTGGACTTTTCTTCTTCCATACCATCTCCGCTCGTGCGACTTCTCTCCAAATCGAAAACTTGAGCCTCCATTCCTATAAATTAATTTTTTTTTTAAGAAAAAATTACTTAATAAACAATTGTCTCCCGTGATAATACAATTAAAAAGGTTGTAAATATCT